TGGGGCAAGTGGCAGTTCCAGCATCCTGGATGGGGGCTAGGCTAGTAAGAAGTCTGTGGCTCGGGGCTCCTGCCCAAGGACTAAACTGACAAATAGTCAATGGCTCGGGGCTCCTGCCCAAGGACTAAACTGACAAATAGTCAATGGCTCGGGGCTCCTGCCCAAGGACTAAACTGACAAATAGTCAATAGCTCAGGCCTTCTGCAATGCGCTCTCTGTGGGATATTTAAGTAGTAGTTTAATTCCTCCGTCCAGATGTGAAGCGTAGTGGGTGGGGGTGGGCACATGGCGTCACATTCCCCCAGACTTCTGGCACCCTTGTCATGAGGTCTTAGATCATCACATGAAGAGGAATCCCATTCTGCTTCCTGTGTCAGGAAGCCCATCAGGTCAGGGGTGGGCTTTGTCCCCCAGAATGTTCTGAGGGAGAGCAGTTCAGCTGCTGAGCTGTCTCCCTCCATGATTGAGAGCCCTGGCTTCATCCGTGGTAGATCTTCACCAAAAGAAGCTGAGGAGCTCAGATGAGAGATGGACCCTCCCAAGAATGAGGGTCATTAATATGGGACAGCACTTACAGGGACATTCCTGCCTGTCTCCCTCATGTGTGCAATTATCCCCCCTGCCATATGTATCCCCAGTCTCTCCCACTGTCACCCCCCCACACACACACACACATACAGCGTGGGGGAAGACAGAAGCCATCTGTGCTCCCCTCATCCATAAAACACCTTGTAGTGTTCTCCATGTAGGCCTCTTGACTCCCCATAAGCAGAGGGGGAGACATAGAGCTGAAGCTGTCTGAGGCCCTGAGAGACCATCACCAGCTCTAATCCCCTGGCTCCATCCTTGTCTGTTGAGCCTTCTGCAGATCAGCAACAGGGATTCCCACTCTGCCAAACCTTAGGTGATTCATCCTCACAACAGGAAGGCAGCAGAGAGGCCGATGATGTCCTTTGGAGCCAGACGAGCTTATGAGGGGAGCCAGAGATGTGTCCCCAAACTCCTCTATAATTGCAAGCTTCCTGACTGCCTGCATTTGATCTCATTCTCCCTGCCACACTCCCCTCCTCTCTCTCCTCCAAGTGGGAGGATTCGATCCCTTGTTCACATCCTTGGCTGGGGGGAAAAATCTGTTTCTCCAGTGACTGGGTTTCTTGGGATCAATTTACACTTTGGGATCTATCTCTGTGGTGAAAAAGGCAAGCAGAACTTCCTTTTGTTTAAAGGAAGTGCATTGTTCCTACTGTGCCTGACAAGCTCTCCAAAGTATGCCAGATACGAAGAACCACGGCATCCTCCCAGGCTGCCTGGCCCAGTAGCTAAGAAACCAGAGGGGGACACAAAAGACCTAGATTCTAGTCCCAGCTCTGCCAATAAGCTTGTGTGTGACCCTAGGCAAGTCACTTCACTGCTTTGTGTCTTGCAACTTCCACACTCCCTCATCTTTGCTTTCTTTCCCAGTTCAATTGTAAGCTCTTTGGAGCAAGAACTGTGCCTCATTATGTGTTTGCACAGTGCATGGCACAATGGGAGCCCAATACCTTTTGGGACCTCTAGGTGCTACAAATAATTAATAGTAATGTTGATGATTAGCTTCATACAACTATATTTTGGTACTGTGCACCGGATATCATCTAGGGGAATCCATCCAGTGACATTAACTTTATTTCTCTATTGTTTTTTTTCCCCCACTACAAAATGGACAAAAAAACCCCAAAACTTTAGAAACTCTGAAAAAACCCTTTATTTTTATGGCATTATAAATCAGCAAGCCCATGTCCAAATCACTTTACATTTTCCAGAAGAATTCAGTGGCAGCTCAAGACTTAACCTATCATCAATTTGGAGGCTAAGCTGTCTTTTATTGTCTTTCTCTTTTTAATATTTTTATTATTTATTATTAAGGGGTGGGGTGGGGGCAAACTCAGACTTATCATGAAAACTCAGCAGCATCTTTATGTAGCAACTGATATAGCTGCATAATAGGAGCAAAGATGAGGAAAAAAGGATGTGACAGCTAGCAGTGAGTAAACAAAAATTACATTTAAGGAGAAGCTCCTCACACATTCTTTTTCTGTGGTTAGATTGCTCCACTTAACAGCAATTTCATAAGAATTCTCTTTTGGCAGTTTATAATTTTATCCATTTTTCCCTTTTAATCACCTCAAAATGACATGGATGCAAACTTCTGAGGCTCGTCGTGCACATTCGGTCAGTCATGGGAGTTCTCTTTGCCTACATCATCATGTCAGTTTCAGTTTCCATGCTTCAGACTCAAGAACTGAAACTTAAATTTAGCAGAGCAGAAGAAAACAGAAGTAAGAAGAGAGTGATGGGGGAGATGAGAAGAGGGGAAAAGAGTGGGTGAAAGAGGGTGATAGAAAAAGAGGTGGAGAGAAAGGATGGAGACTAGAAAGAGAGGGAAATGTGAAAAAGATAGAGGAAAGGGAAAAGGAAGAAGAAAAACGGGAGGGCAACACTAAGAATAGGGAGGGGAAGTTATAATCACTGAAGGAGAGAGGAAGGAAATGGAAGGGGAAGTGCTGGTATTCCCCAATGCTAGATGTTTAGGGCTTGGTGCTGTTGAAGATGAGCTCTGGGGCATTTATTCCAGGGCTCCTAGTATAGGGAGGCAGCTGGAGACATTGCTGGGGTGCAGTGTGCTGCGCTCCCAGGTTCATTGCCAAGAATAAGGTACACATCTGCCCCCCTACAAGGCCTGTTCCAGCAGTGTCTTTCATTGACTCTTCCAGGAGAGCGTCCCAACTCAGTAATGAATCTGCTCTTAAGCTTTCATGCCTTTCCCAGACTTGAAGTATGAAGGGTAGTAGCTAGGCAAGGGATGGTGGGAGCCTGGTATTGGTGTTGAGAGGGGAAGCCGAGAAGGTTGGCACGTCTTGGAAATGACTCTATAAAGGACCATAGGAAAAGCTTCTGCTGGGAAATAATTTAATGCAAATGAAGTAGTGCACCCTTCATTTTACATCCTAAGGAGGAGCAGCAGGCCAGGAAGGTAGCCTATTATTTCCTGCTGAGAACTAACATGTTCATAACTATCAGAGAGAGACTTAGGCACTGATCATAACAGAGACAGCTGTAATTTGCATGAATGGGCCACTTCCTTTGGAATTGCTCTACAAAGACCTGAGACCCTTGATAAAGGGATTATATATGCTTGAAAAAAAATAGCATTAATGGAAATAAAGTTGGAATATCATGTTTTCAAAGGCCAGGACAAATTAAAAGCTAAAGGCTGTCACTACCTCTTTAACATGGCTATGATCTGCATCTTTTTATATAAATACATTTTTATAAACAACAACATATTGAAGTTAACATTTAAAAAGGAAAACAAGAATAGAAAACATACATCTGTACAAAGTAGCTGAGTTAACTTCGGTGGAGCATCCTTAACTTCAGGAATTTCGTAATGACACCAGCGTGCTTGAATATTTCAGCCTTAACATTAACTGTTTATTATTATTATTTCATTGATTCTGCTAACATTTTTCTAAAAGGGGAAATGTTGGACTTACCCCTCAGTTTTTCTTCTCTGATAAAGGCATGAGTCCCTTCCTTGCAGCCTCTGGAGATAGAGTTCTTACGAGTTACTCCTGGGGGAATTTGGCACCAAAAAATTAAAAATTCTGTGCACAATATTTTAAAATTCTGCAAAATTCTGTATATTTTATTTGTCAAAATAACACAATATAATCATGCCACTTTCAATTATTTTGGTAATTTATTTCAAAATGCCTGTCAGCAAATATGTCTGTAATAATACAGACAACAAAAATGATTCAGGAAATGTGTTTTTACAAATAGATTCCTTACTAGGCAAATTAATACAGAACTTTGAGTAATAATTCATTTAAACTACCATACAGAACCGTATTTCCCACACCCCTCAGAAGCAGTGCAAAGGCTTGGAGGAGTTAGGGGTAATAGAGGAGCTGAGGGAGAGGGAAGTAATTGCTGGGAAGAAGCCTGGGAGTGAAACTGGAGGGTTCCTGGGTATGGGTGGGAGAAATATGGAAAAGGGTTTTCTTTGGAGGGGGAGAGATTGTTAGGGAGTTGGGGAACCTCCCCCATGCAGACCCTGGTTGACCTCTAGCCTCTTCCATTCAGTCAGGCACATCTGCCTTGTCCCCATGTGTCCCTGCACCCTCCTCCCCCCACCCCCATGTGTCTCTGTATCCCCACTCAGTCACCCCTCACCTCTGTATGGTCTTGTTCCACATTTCCATTTAGCCCCTGTCCCAGTCTGTCCCCCCCACTGGCCCTTTTGAACCTCAGTCGGTGACAGCCCCCGCACCCCAGCAGCCGCAAATGCATCATCCATCCACATGTCCCATGCTTCCTAACCTGGCTCCACTGGCAGGGTGCTGTGAGGAATGCAGCCAGCTGTTGGCTGCTACTGCTGGTCAGCCAGCTGCTCTCTGCTCTGGTGCCACCTCATGGGCAAAAGGTGTAACTGCAGTGCCTCTCCAACCAAATGTATTTTCTGCAGAGAAAAAAATTCTGCAGAGGACATGAATTCTGTGCATGCGCAGTGATACAGAATTCCCCCAGTGGTAAAATAAGGCTTCAGTTTCTGGAGCTGAGTAGGGCCAAGAAAGTTTCCACACCATCTGGCTGTTGCCAACACTAAAGATACGTCAGTCTATGCCCATTTGTCCCTCAGCTCTTCCATGGTAGCTAACAAACACAGGTCCACCTAAGCTATGTATACTTCTCTACCACCCCCTTGGGTAGGCCATTGAACCATCTGATAGTGTCAAACTCAGTCGCTTTATTAAAACTCATATTGTACTTGTAGAGTTTCACAGAAGCATAATTACAGTACACACTCACAGAAACAACTCATTATTTATTGAGCCACATTAAGATTAGTTTATTTGCCAGTGATTGGGCCAGGACATCAGGTGTCAAACACATACACCGGATCCAGCATCTAACAACTTTATATCTTCACACTACACTTGCAAAGTGACATTTACCTTTCTTTTTTTTAAATATGTACCATACTTCCAAAATGTTAAAATAGATTAACTAGTTTCTATGGCTAAAATAAAGTATGTGGAAGAACACAACCAAAAAAGTGAGTAAGAAAGCACACATTTAAAATATACTTACACTTTTGGTTCAGTCTCTGACTGCAATATGGTTTAATTCATTTGCCTAGCTGAAGGTTGTATGGTCTGTACCAGAGAGCTCATGTCCTCACTTGTTAAAATGAACATATGCAGAATGTTTCGCAGTAGCAACGTAATTACGGGGAAGCATAAGAAATTCATAATGCTATACACTAAACTAACTAAAACAAGACTTTAAAAATAAAATGGTTCACAGATGAACATGTGACACAGACATAACTGATGATATTAAAGCAACTTTGTGATTTAGCTAAACTCTGACTTAGTTAATTCAGTTTTTAAGGCCAGTGTAGACGGATGCACAATTTCTAAAGGGTTATACAAAGCTCTGCTATAGGTCTTTTCAGTACCAAGAACTGACATTTGAAACAGACCATTTAAAGCAGAGAGGCTACTACAGCACAGAAAATTTTATTAAGCGAAGGTGAGCTTGTGTCAGACGATCAATTCGTCCACTCAGAAAATGCCTCTGATCGGCAGCATCTTTCCGTTCCTGAAGAAAGAAGTTCAATTTTTCTTTTTCTTGTAAAAGTTGCAGTATTGAATTCTGTAATTTATCTCCAAAGTCCTGAAGGATGTAGAATTGGATGATCAGAGGAATTTGGTTGGAGAGACGTTTACCTGCACTCTGAAAACAGAAGATGGTTATAAAACATTACTGTCAAAGAGAGGACATGGGAAGGGCTCTCTAGCGAAATTCAGTAAGAAGCTACAACATTCTGTGTCAAGTGATTGTTCCAGTGAGTATCTTCATGAATTAGTCTGGAAATGGCTCAGACAGCTGAGATGCAACTTTTCCTTTTAATCCCATTTGAAAACATGAATGAGATGCGCTGCTAATTTCAACCATAAGTATTCTCAGCAGCATAAACACAAGGCAGACCAGTCACTGCTGACTACCTGTATAACCTAATTAATGCATCCGATGAAGTGAGCTGTAGCTCACAAAAGCTTATGCTCAAATAAATTTGTTAGTCTCCAAGGTGCCACAAGTCCTCCTTTCCTTTTCTTTTCTTTTTGCGAATACAGACTTACACGGCTGCTACTCTGAAACCTAATTAATGCTGACATTTGCCAGCAGAGGGCCATCCACGAAATAACACTATTGTAAAGTACAAGCTCAGAAACTGCTTCCACAGAAGCCATAGTGTGTGGCTGACCTGCTTCCACAAACTGCTGTGGGGTAGTAATGGAGTGGCTCATAAGTAATTACGTAGAACTGACAAAAACCTAAGATACCACCCTAAATTTCAAATCGTAGGATTCTAGCTTGAATCCCTTTAACATAATCAACCCATCTGGCACAAGCAGTCTAATGGGCACAGCCCAAAGTCAACTCCCAGTATCTAGAACTTATTTGTACTAGTCCGGTGAAGTACAGGGCTGCCTTAGTGCTATGCCCGCGCCTTAACAGATGTCAGCCTGGGGATTTGATCACTTATTTAGAACCAGGAAAGCTAACTGCTATTTACTGAGCTAGTTCCCTCTTAATCTAACAAATCAGAGTACAACAGAGGCAGCAATTTATAATTCAGACAAGCTACTCAAGATGACTGACTGGCAGAGGGAACTTAAATGCAGGACCCTTTTGTGAGAAATCTCAGTCTATTGCCCAACATTTCTCCTTTCAAATCATCAATCTGAGGGTGAAATTTTCAAGAGTATTTATGTGCTTAAATCCCCTTTTCAAAAGTGACACACCTAGGATCCTAATTCTCATATAAAATCAATGGCACTTAACTGCATAGGGTCTCTTGAAAATTTTGGTGAGTGTCTAATGGCTCTCTCTGCTGCAGATTCACTGCTCTAGGGTTATTTAACCTATTGCCAAGTGAAGCACTTTAGGACACCACAAATCTGAGTGAGATGATATAAAAACAAGTTCTCTTTTGCCTTTTCACCCTACCTCATAACATCTACTGCTAACATAACCACTTCTAATAACTGTCATAATATGTTTGTTCTCTCCATGAGAACAAAATGGAAACGGAGGCCTGCTTGTTCAATGGCTGCCTCTAGTTTTATGGATGTACTGATTTGTATCTCCAGGTGCATCCATTTTGTGCCACTGCACCTGCATTTTGCTGGTGGTGCATTGTTGTAGACCAGGCTGAGGCTAAAAATCAGAACCTTAATTTCTCAGTTGGTGGACATAGGGCTAAATTCAGAGGTGGCCTAAGTTTTGTCATTAAGTTGGTGAAATCTGGTGTAACAGAGCAGGAAAAACAATCAAAAGGCAGATGCAGTATGATGAAGCAAGCCTCTGTTATACTCTCAACTTGTAACTATACCTACATAATGATTCTGTACATTGATACTGTACTGTACATGCCTTTCACATCACATCTAAATTTGCCCATAGACATTTTGCATCGGCTATTCAAAATTCCAGTTAATACAAAAAGATGTTATCCATGGACATCAAGGTGGGGGATTATATGCCTTATAAATGTTACCAGTATTTTCTTAAATTAAAAACAAAGAGAGACTCTTTCTATTGATTGCAATGGGAACTGGATTGGTACATGCTGCAGGATTTGGAGTGGAATAAAAACTGCTGTGGTAGGAATCCATAAACTCACACTGAAGTATGCCTCCAAGTGGTAAGTCATATCCTGAATGGCAGGGTGGTTCTGGACAGTTCCAGAATTGAAACTCAAGGAGACCAGGTTCAGACTGTGGGCTGCTTCCTTTGATGTTTCTTTCTCAAAAACTTTTAAGTCTTGTCTGTAAACATTGTCCTGGCAGTATACAAGCTGCTCCATTTTAAAATGGATTTTAATAATTGTTTCAGCTTCCTCTGATTGTTTCTTGCTAATGTCTTCAATTCTGCCCTGTGAAGGGAGAGAAGTGGGGGGAAGAAAACTATCAAAATCCACTAAACAACAGATGGTGCACGTAAGTACAGGACCAGCCCCATGTGACAGATAATGTGTGACATGGTGTCACAGGGTTCCCAAGAGCACACGGTAAGAGCCAGATTCTGGCTCCCTGTCTCCTGGTGCAAGGGGGCAGGAGAGGCCACGTTGCCTTATGCCCCCATTACACTTGTGGACAGGAGCAGCCAAAAGCCTGCCACTTGAGTTCCCTGAGTGCGAACAAAATCCACACCTTTGGCCATGCCCAACAAACCAACCTTCAGCCAGGCACTGAGCATCTAATGGTTCAGCTATAGCAATCCCTCCTCTCTGGCCTTCCAGATTCCTTACCCTTTCAATACACCCAAAACTTCAGTGGGAAAATCATCTACCTCTTCTCAGTGCTACAATTACATTCAAACCTTCTTAAAATCCTTTCACAGGATCCACATTGCCTCCCGATCCAAATTCAGCCTTGTTCTCAGCTTCAAGGACTTCCACAACATAGCACCTGCCTTCCTCCCCCTCTGCTTTTGTCTCCCTTTAAACTTCCTGCCCTCTGCTCAGCCAAAGTCACTTACCTGATTGCTGCCTGATTTTTCAAAGCTGCTGAGCCTCTGCATCTCCCAGAGATTTCAAAATGATTTGTGGATGCTCATCACTTTTGAAAATTAGGCCATAAATGCCTCTATCTTGTGTATGCCCCTGGGCCTTTTTTCAGGCAGTTCCCTGTGAGTGGCAGCCCTTCCAACCTCTCTCTCTCAAAGTCTTTTCTCAAAACTTAGTTCTTCAGTGACCACAGTCACATCAAAAAAAAAAAAAAAAAAAGAGTCTCTCCCACATGATATATATAAATCTCTAAGCAACCCCATCATCATATTGTCTTTGACCTTTCCACTTCCTGTGGTGTTGTCTTCTGTTCTTCGCTTAACACAGGCACTGCAAAGACTTATAAGCATGCTTGACTTCAAGTAGTCCCATTTAACTCTCTGGGAGTACTTACATGCTTAAGTCCCTGCAGGAATGAAATCTGAGATTGTAAACTCCTTGGGGCAGGGACTCAAAATTTGTTGTGTGCAGTGCTGTGCACATATATGGTGTAAATTATAGTGCAATCCATTCAAGAAACTGGGAAATGTACAGTTTATAGCGATGACAACGTTACTGGATGAATGTAGCCAGACAGCCAGCCCCCCCCCCTCAGACCAGCATTGCTGGAAACAAGGAGGAAGCCGGAACAGGGTACTTAACATATATTCCAGCACAGCCTTTGAAGCTGTGAAAGCACAGGTGTGCTGCTACAATGTGCCTCTGGGAACAGATACAACGATTAAGCTCACAGCAGGCAGAGGCCCTGTGACAGACATGGCTCTTAGCCCCTACTAAATAGCGTGATGCACACACACCAACATCCTAGGTGGGAAAATATTTACCCTGATAAAAGAAATGTCCAGTAGTCGACACTTATTGTTTCTCTCCCTTGCAAGTGTAAACTACTCTTGCGAAAGCTGGCGTCACCCAGACAGACCAGCCTCAATTTGGCATAAGAAAGGAGAAAGAGAATAAAGGAGTACAGAGGTATAAGTAGGGGACCTACAGCACCATGATTTTTGAGTGCTTTTCACTATCTATCTGCTGGTCAGATAAGTGACAGCCTCCCAAGGCTTCTGCAGCTAAGAGGGTCCCTACGCCTTGTCCCTTATTCGTCTTTCCGCGGAATTGAGTGACCGATCCTGGCTTGGCACCGCTGGAATCGAGAGATGCAAGGAGGGTAAGAAGCACCCACACCTGATCTCCTATCTTTAGTGTACACATATTTTGAATAGAGCTCTATACTTTGTTTTCTTTCTTTGGGATTGTGGCTTCAGTTTTGTAACTTGTTTGTGTGTGTAACATCTCTACATTTAAATAAGTAGGCACTAGCAATTTTGTAACCACATGATTAGAATCTAGCTTAATAAATTTTGGTAACCATTTGTGCATAAGCCTGACTTGTTTTCTCTGGTTTACTGTAAAGCAGCCAACACAATTAAAGAACCTCAGCCGTTTTGGCTCTAAAGCCTGGCCATTAGGTGAGAGTACTAAGAGCCTAGCGTTGAGTTGTGCCGCCTCCATGGGGCAAACTCTTGGGGCACCTGTCAGTCAATCCTGGCTGCCCGCTGCGAAGGAGCTCTGAGCTCTAGCAGTTAAAGTCACGGGTGTGGAGAGGCTCTTAGTGCTGCCATTGGGGCACCTGTCAGTCAGTATTGACTGCCCGCTGCGAAGGAGCTCTGAGCTCTAGCAGTTAAAGTCACGGGTGTGGAGAGGCTCTTAGTGCTGCCATTGGGGCACCTGTCAGTCAGTATTGACTGCCCGCTGCGAAGGAGCTCTGAGCTCTAGCAGTTAAAGTCACAGGTGTGGGGGTTTAGTGTGACCTTGGGGCACCGAGAAGCGCCCGAAGAAGTAAGGGGTGTAACTTGGGGCATCCGTCAGCCTAGCCCGGGCTGCCCGCCGCGAAGGGACAGTGCGTCCTAGCAGTTAAAGTCACGGATGGTATAAACGGGCATAGCTGGCACCTCACCAAACATCCTTGGCCGTCGGCTAACAATGATGTAACAAACCTTAATTTCTCCTGCATATAGAAATTTCCATTTATTTACAGTTTCTCTGTTACCTTATTGCACAACATATTCATAAAGGTGCAGGAATCTCCCCAGTTGCTTAAAGGTACAACAATTAAATAAGTGACTGATCAAGAGTGAAGGAGTAACATGTAGTTCTATATATAATACATTATGCCATTCAGTATTGCTTGACTTATATCAGGTTATATAAAATCATAGACGTGTCAGACTGGAAGGGACCTAAAGAGGTCATCTAGTCCAGTCCTCTGCACTCAAGGCAGGACTACACAATAATTAGACCATTCCTAACAGGTGTTTGTGTAGCCTGTTCTCAGATGATGGAGATTCCACAGCTTCCCTTGACAATTTGTTCCAGTGCTTAACTACCTTGACAGTTAGGAAGTTTTTTCTCATGTTCAGCCTAAACCTCCCTTGCTGCAATTAAAGCCCATTGCTTTTTGTCCTGTCCTGGGAGATTAAGGGGAACAATTTTTCATCTTTGCCCTTGTAACAACCTTTCATGTACTTGAAAACTTATGATGTCCCCCTCAGTCTTCTCCTCTCCAAACTAAACAAACCCAATTTTATCAATCTTCCCTCACAGGCCATGTTTTCCAGACCTTTAATCATTCTTGTTGCTCTTCTCTGGACAGCATGTGGTGTCTCACCTTAGCAGCTCTGTTAAGATTTTGAAAATCCTCAAAATGATCTTTGGCAACCTCTGTAAAAGCTTTTCGGACAATTTCTGAGGGGAGAAAAGAGACATAAAATAAAGGACTGAGCTACTAGTAGCACAAGATTTGTGAAAACTGGTCATTCTCCATATCTATTCAAAGCACAGGTGTCAACTTTTGTTGGTGCCGGTGGGTGCTCGCACCCCCCCCTGGCCCCACCCCCGCCCCGACTCCGCCCCCTCCCTGCCTCTATTGGATCCCTCCCCAAATCCCTGCCCTGGCCCCGCCTCTTCCCCAAGCGCTCCGCGTTCCCCCTCCTCCCCCCTCCCTCCCAGGCTTGCCCCGCGAAACAGCTGTTTCTCGGCGCAAGTGCTGGGAGGGAGGGGGGGAGAAGCAGGACCCATCGGCCCGCTCAGGGGAGGAGGCGGAGGTGAGCTGGGGCAGGTCGGGGAGCTGCCAGTGGATGCTCTGCACCCACCAATTTTTACCCACGGGTGCTCCAGCCCCGGGACACCCATGGAGTCAGCGCCTATGATCCAAAGGACACTGCCATGGAGCTATGTCTCATCTATTCAATTTTTAATCTCTCCTTATCATATCTGAGATGATTTTTCATTTTCCTATCATGGTCGATTTCTAACGTTTTCAGAAATACTATCCATTTAGGAATTTTGTACTGTCAAAGTCTGAAGGCCAGGCATAGAGGTTTGAGGTCTAAAGATCAGTCTCATGGCTTGAAACTGGTTTGATTCAGATTCATTTCCCCCTGCCTGAAGCAGCCAAGATACAGCTCTTGCTGTGTCAACCAAAATGTACGCAAACCAATATTTCTGAAGCTTGGGATAAAACTTAGCTAATGAAACTCACCAATTACTTTCTTCAGCATCTCAATAGCTGGTTTTTCTAGTGCCATAATTCGCTGTCTTACAATGGCCTCAAATGTCTTGTAACTGGTAAACCCCGGGAGCTCTCTTCCACGATACTGTTCTTCAAATCTCCACACTTCATGTTGTATAGTTTTTCTATCTATAACATTAAAACAACAGCACTATTTTAATATAATAAATCTAATGAATTTATAAAGACAACTATGGATTTAAAGTGGAAGTTTAGTTCTTTGTTCTGAAGACACTTTTGACTGGAAGAACTAATACACAGCTCATAATTTAAGCAAGTTGATTTCTGTAGAATTGAGCCAAAATATGCAGTTGCTACTTCTAAGAATGAACTGTTTCACTCATTGAGATGACCAGATAAACCAGGGTTGGGCAAACTTTTGGCCCGAGGGCCACATCTGGGTGGGGAAATTGCATGCAGGGCCATGAATGTAGGGCTGGGGCATGAGGTTGGGGTGTGGAAGGGAGTGCGGGGTGTAGTAGGGGGTGCGGTGTGCAGGAAGGAGCTCAGGACAAGGAGTTGGAGTGCAGGAGGGGTACGGGGTGGGCTCGGGGCAGAGGGTTGGGGTGCAGAGTGTGGGAGGCATCTCAGGGCAGGGAGTTAGGGTGCTGGAGGGGTGTAGCATGTGGCAGGGGGCTCAGGGCAGGGGTTCAGGGTGCGGGCTCCCTGCCTGCCCTGGCCCCGCGCCGCTCCCAGAAGCGGCCGGCATCACGTCCCTGTGGCCCCTGTGGGGAGGGGGGCCAGAGGGCTCCATATGCTGCCCTCGCCTGCGGGAAACTCCCCCAAAGCTCTCATTGGCTGCAGTTCCCCATTCCTGGCCAATGGGAGCTGCAGGGGGCGGTGCCTGCAGGCAAGGGCAGCGCGCAGAGCCCTCTGCCCTCCCTCCCCCAAGGACCGCAGGGATGTGGTGCTGGCTGCTTCTGGGAGCGGCGTGGGGCTGGCAATCCCGCGGGCTGGATCCGGCCCGTAGGCCGTAGTTTGCCCACCCCTGATTTAAACTAATGGAAACCGGAACATGGGCCAGTATTCTGATCCAGTACAGCAACTCCTATCAGTCTGATACCCTTTCAGCAGTGGCCAATACTTGATGTTTTAGAGGAAGATGTAAAACAATTTGACAACCAAATATAAGGAAGTCTAGACTAAACTTCCTGGAACACTCAGACAACACCAACACTAAAACATTGTCAATATTGGAGAAATTTGCCATCCTAAATAATATTTGTTCCTCTCTGACTGATACATGTGTACCTCACATCCACATTTACTAGTGCTTTAAAGGCATCCAATCTTGACTTATTGTGGGTAGGTACAGGAGTTATAGCATATTCATGCGTGACTGGAGGCAGGAAGTACACAGGTAACACTGCATTCAGTTCTTAAGGACCATTCCTCTCAGAACCTCTAAGAGATTTCAAATACTTATGGGCTTATGGTCAAACACTACAAAAAAAATTGCGGTGTAGTATGTGTCAAATAGACTGGAGTTTGAGAGGCAAAACTTTAGAAGGAAGGTGTATAGGGGTTTGTAAAATTAATCAGTCAACGAGAAAAACATCTTCCAATGTACTTTACAATAGGAAGCCCCAAAACCTGCATAATTTAGTAAAAGTCCTGAGAATTCCATTTATCTGCCATTTTTAATATTTATTCCAGCTCTCTAATGATCTGAAACTAGAACTGTTAGATGAACTTTCCTTGCAATGACTTCAGCTATATAATAACTTCAGCTAACAATAATACCTGCCTCATACACGGTTCTTTTCATGGGTAGATCTCAAATTACTTTCTAAAGGAAGGCAGAAGTATCATTATTTCCATTTTACTTGCAATGCAAGTGCACCTCCTATTGACACACACAAGCGCATCAACTGATTCTCAAAGGGAATAAGTAACATCATAAAGAAACTGGTTTTTAGTTGTTTTCTCCTCTTCTATTTTTCCTGTGTTTTTGTTCACCTGCTATCTCCTCTTTCCACCTGTTTTCCTACTTTTTTCACTCACCTAATACCTTTAGATTAACTGGCTCTGGGTATGCGGTGGGACAGGACAGATTAGACGATAGAATACACCTGTGTCTAGATGTAGTTGCCCCTCAGTGACATGTACCCCGCACACATTTTGGAACTATTCCTTTAGAATTACATTTAGCCATGTTTATATCGACATTCACAGACAGCTAAAAACGTATAGCAATAGGGGCTGCTCGACAGAAATGTCGACATTTGACATTGGTGAGGCCTCATCTGGAGTACTGTGTCCAGTTTTGGGCCCCACTCTTCAAGAAGGATGTGGATAAATTGGAGAGAGTCCAGCGAAGGGCAACAAAAATGATTAGGGGTCTGGAACACATGACTTATGAGGAGAGGCTGAGGGAGCTGGGATTGTTTAGCCTGCAGAAGAGAAGAATGAGGGGGGATTTGATAGCTGCTTTCAACTACCTGAAAGGGGGTTCCAAAGAGGATGGCTCTAGACTGTTCTCAATGGTATCAGATGACAGAACGAGGAGTAATGGTCTCAAGCTGCAGTGGGGGAGGTTTAGATTGGATATTAGGAAAAACTTTTTCACTAAGAGGGTGGTGAAACACTGGAATGCGTTACCTAGGGAGGTGGTAGAATCTCCTTCCTTAGAGGTTTTTAAGGTCAGGCTTGACAAAGCCCTGGCTGGGATGATTTAACTGGGAATTGGTTCTGCTTCGAGCAGGGGGTTGGACTAGATGACCTTCTGGGGTCCCTTCCAACCCTTATATTCTATGATTCTATGATGAAATGTGTGCTACGTGTTGACCAAGAGGAAGAATTAATGGGTATTCGGAGAGGTTTAGAAATGTTTTGAGCTGATCTTAAACTTCAATTTCTGTGAGACATTCTTCTCCTTTTAGATCTGGATTCAGTAACCAATTAGCAGACTGGGTTATCTGGGAAACATGGGCGTTCTTTAGGTGGTTATTTTATTACTCATAAATTGCTAGACTTTAAACCATAGACTTAAAAAAAATTTTTTAACATACGTTATTCAAAGAATCAAGGGCATATTGTCAGCTGGTGAAATTGTCCTATCACCATTGACTTCAATGGAAATGGACGGAATCCATTGATTTCAATGGAGCTATGTGAGTTCACACCAGCCGGGGATCTTGGTAGATAAATTCTCATCACTTCAAGTTTTAAAATTTCATTAACATGATCTATTAGCTGTATTACAACGTTAGTCAAAATAAGTATTTCATAGCAGTTTCACAGGCAAGCCCCTGTACTTACCAGTCAATGCACTGTCATCAAGTATCTTCCCCCATTTTTGAAACTCTGTGCGGATTTTTGTAAACAGTCTAATTTCATTTTCTAACAACTTTTCTTCTCCTGCCACTGAACTCATGATGTCTTGATTAAACAGTTTGATTTTCTGTAATGAGATTGAAAAAAAACACCCTGAGTTCTGTAAAGGCAGCATAGCTAAGCAAGAGTGAATTTGATTGTATTTTCCTTGTGGATCTAGGCAATCTTTTATTAAATTCCAATCAGTTAGATTTATGCAAAGCCAATGAAGATTGCTGGAGTTACACAGGTATCAATGCTGAGGGCTTATTTTTTTCTGCAGAACCTATATTCCTGGGAAAAAGAAAAGTTTCCAGATTGACTTGCAGATTCCAGGTTGGGACTGCAGGCCTGGCAATTAGAAAAAACAACCACCATCTTATATTTGTAAACTGAGGACGTGTGTTATGGAAATCACTGAGACGTAACCATGGAACGCTATAATGTCATATTGACCAAGTTCTGTCCAGCGTTGAACTGCTCTACAAGTCCGTGGGATTTGTGCTGCTAACTCACTTTGGTGCTTTTGAAAATCCCAACCTAAATCTTAATTCACCTCCTTTGTCCCTTTCTCTTTACCCTAAAAGCTGATCTAATATCAGCCAAGATTTTCAGAAATGGGTGCCTATATCTAGGCTCCTAAATCCAGATTCAGGCACATGGTGCGGCCAGGTCACCTCCTTGCACAGCAGCTGCTGGAGCCTGAGCTGCACCCCACAGGGAAAGGCAGCAGCAACTGCTGGGAGCTGCAGAGGGCGTAGCACTGCTTTCTGGGGTGGAGTAGGGAGGAGAGACTGAGTGGAGGAACCTTGATCGGGGGGGGGGGGGGGAGGCATGATTTGAGCTGTTCCGGGGGTGGCCAAAACTTTAAATTGCCCCCCAACCCATCAGCATTTATGGGTCGTCTCTGCTGTCTCCCTGCAACCATATGGTAACACGTAATCCCAGAAGGAGAACTTTGGCAGGGCCCAAGATCAGCTGGACCTGCTAAGTAGTATGGTTGACAGCCAGGGAGGTGTAACCTGGAGACCCAGTCAGAGAGTGATTGGATCACAGCATCCCACCCCAAAAGAGAAGTGGAGGCACAGGCCTCTGTCTTGACAGGGGTTCACTTGTGGGACTGGAAGAGGGTCTCTGTGGGAGGAGCCTACCCAGGGACTGTGGGAACAGCCATTCACCACAGTAGGTCTCAAACTTTAATGCCAGAAAGGATAGTTGTGATCATCTAGTCTGACTTCCTGGACATCGCAGGCCACCAAATCTCACCAACCTACACCAGTAATAGATCCATAACCTCTGGGTGGGGTTCATAGTAAAGAGATAGAAGAAACAGGTGGAAGAGCTTCATCAAACTGGACACCATGAGCCAAGAGCATCCATGGTTTAAATCCAGGGATGCACTTAGGCTTATGTGTATTGTAAGCAATGAAAGCCCTACAAAGTGTTGATGGCAGAAATGAATTTGTTCCCTTTGAAATTCTTGACCTTATCAAAATCAGGAAAGTTTAGGACTTGTTCAGCTCTCTTTGCCGTGCCACACAACCAAATACATATTTATACTTACATCTATTAGGAAAACCAACTTCTCGCCTTCTGCTTTTGGTGTGCCTTTGCCATATTTGAGTAACTCTTCAGTTGTTTTGTGGAGTTGAATGTTTATTTGCTCTTCTAAAACAGGCAAAGATTTCTAGGGGAGAAAAAACAACTATACTTGTACAGTTTGGACAATTCCATTCTTTGAAAGAAACAGAACATTTCAGAGTGTGACATGGAGCTTTATGAATCTTGCACGGCCCTTAAACGTCCAGGTATGCTCTGAAGTCTAAACCAACACTGCCTGTACTGAGAAAAGAATGGGGAAGGTTTAAAGAGTGGTGTTCTTCGGTGCTTCTCTTACATAAAAAAAAGCAGTGTTGCTCTGCTGGTCTAGTACAGCATCCTAGTTAGAGAACCAGTGCATCTTAGCAACCTTTTCATTCTTACTAAACAGTTGTTTACAAAAGCACACATAGTATCTGAAATATTTCATATTCACTCTGTATAAATTATTCAGGCTTCCAAAAGTTGTCAGTGATGATAACAGTTCGCTCTAGTTAGCACTATTCATCCATAGATCTCAAAGCGCTTTACAAAAGAAAGCAAGTATCAGAATCCCTACTTTAAAGACAGGAACACTGAGTCATGGAGAGATTACGTGATTTGCCCATGGTTAAACAGTAGGTCAGCTGCAAAGCTGAGAATCGAATACTGGCCAACTGACTATCGCTGGGTAAAATTTTTGAAAGAATAGTTTATTCACTGAAAAAAGCAGTTTCTGTCGACCCAAAACTATCTGAATATGATCCGATAGTTTCAGGTGGGGAAGAGCTGGACTCTTCTACTTTACTGACAAATTCCAAACATTTTTGGAACCAAGATGAATATTTCCCCCGATTATACCCCCGGTTTGGCAGCTGAACTGAAAAATCAATTAATCTCCCAGCTCTATACCTGACTACCAAGCCAAGGCTCAGTATAGTGGACCATGTACTTCCAGATTGCCATCAGGCAGGGTAATTAAAGCTATTCATAGAAATAATTTTTACAGGCCCAGTCCTCCAAAACTGCAGGATTGGGTCCTTTTTTTTTTTTTTTTAATGGTTACTGATGTAAAGTGTTTCTTTGTTAGCTTACATTAATGTGTTCCACAAGCTCACTTGTAAGTTTCTCTGCCAAAATGGGGATAGTGGCCTTGTTTTCATCCAGAAGAACTCTGAAACAGAATAAGGAATATGAATATTCCTCGCATTTGCTGAATGTGACTCGCATTTGCTGAACAAGAGAGCAGTGTCTTCCCAAGTTCTGCAACACAAAGCAGGTAAATACAGTTTCTTCTGATCAAGCAGGGGAATGCTAGTGAAGGTGCAGCCATAGCCTCACTTCATCCTGCCAAATCTGCAAGATTAGATTTGAAATGATGAGCTGTTTGCTGAACAGACTGAGAACAGAAAAAGGTTCGGAACCATAACTTCAGAAAAAGATCATGAGATAAGAATATCCACATTTATTGCTGTATTATAAGAACGTATGTACTGCTATATATGGTAGGGATACTGATTCAGAATCACTTTTGGGTTCAAAAATTCTCTTTATGACTGAAATGCTGAAAAGCAATCATCTGTGGAGGAGAGCGTTCTCCTGACACAGACCATATCTTTCCTGGGAGTGAGTTTCCCCCCATACTTCCCAGTGGACAGAACGATATGCATGAATGCCTGAGCCAGCAAAGCACTTTAAAGCACGTGCTTAACTTGACTCCTATGGGACTACTTCAGAGTTTAATGGTCACCATGTTTTTAAATGGTTTTCTGGATCAGGGCTTAAATCAAACCTGAATCTGAAAAGAAGCTGAGTTTAAGAGAAGTTAGTTGACATGTAAACTCTTTCTTGCATTTTGGAAAACACTACCACACAGACAATGCAAAACAAACAAACAGAACAAACAAAACCCCCACCCCAAGCACCCCAAGCTAAGTTTGAGGATAATTCTCATTGTGGGCCTAACCCAAATCCGATGGGAGTGAGCAGGAATCTTTCCATTGACCTCAATGGACTTTGGATCAGGCCCTTTAACTGTTTGAAAACTACCTAAAATGTTCATGCTGCTCAAAGAATTCTCTCTCCTTCTGGATTGCAGATGCCAGGGTGAGCTTGTCATGAATGTCTTGCTGCCCACGACATTTAACAATCATATAACCCTTCCTTAGGTGGATGACAAGGTTTCGTACAATATCAACAACTGACGACTCAGTTCCCCTGTCCACCAAATCTGGTTTTGTCAGGATCCCTGTGAAGTAATATGATGAGAAGATTAGACAAGCACAGAAATTAATGATGGGAAAGATCTATTGCGGGTATCTAGTCACCCAATGCAGCACTGTTCCCGACAGCATATACTAAAGCGACTTCTCCAGCTGTGCTGTAAGTTTTTTTTTTTTTCTCCCAGCCCCTCTCTCTTCCCCCCACCTTTCTCAGGAACACCTAGGGATATCAAATTAATAGCAGAGCTTTTACAGTATTTGTCAAGGTTCCTCCCCCACTCTGAACTCTAGGGTACAGATGTGGGGACCTGCATGAAAAACCTCCTAAGCTTATCTTTACCAGCTTAGGTCAAAACTTCCCCAAGGTACAAAATATTACACCCGTTATCCTTGGAATGGCCGCTACCACCACCAAACAATTACTGGTTACTGGGGAAGAGCTGTTTGGACGCGTCTGTCCCCCCAAAATACTTCCCAAAACCTTGCACCCCACTTCCTGGACAAGGTTTGGTAAAAAGCCTCACCAATTTGCCTAGGTGACTACAGACCCAGACCCTTGGATCATAAGAACAATGAACAATCCTCCCAACACTTGCACCCCCTTTCCTGGGAAATGTTGGATAAAAAGCCTCACCAATTTGCATAGGTGACCACAGACCCAAACCCTTGGATCTGAGAACAATGAAAAAGCATTCAGTTTTTACAAGAAGACTTTTAATAAAAAATAGAAGTAAATAGAAATAAAGAAATCCCCCCTGTAAAATCAGGATGGTAGATATCTTACAGGGTAATTAGATTCAAAAACATAGAGAACCCCTCTAGGCAAAACCTTAAGTTACAAAAAAAGTACACAGACAGAAATAGTTATTCTATTCAGCACAATGCTTTTCTCAGCCATTAAAAGAAATCATAATCTAACACATACCTAGCTAGATTACTTACTAAAAGTTCTAAGACTCCATTCCTGTTCTGTCCCTGGCAAGAAGCACACACAGACAGACACAAACCCTTTGTTTGTCTCCCTCCTCCCAGCTTTTGAAAGTATCTTGTCTCCTCATTGGTCATTTTGGTCAGGTGCCAGCGAGGTTACCTTTAGCTTCTTAACCCTTTACAGGTGAGAGGAGCTTTCCCTGGCCAGGAGGGATTTCAAAGGGGTTTACCCTTCCCTTTATATTTATGACACGCCCCCAAATCTCAGCTAGGGTGAAACACTGGCTGGGATTTCTTCCTGGAGCTCTAGGAAAACAGAGTTAATAAGACACATGCATCTCTAAATATACTACCAAGTACATAAAGACTAACAATATTTTCCACATCTCAAGGATGATTTTAACCAGTTGATTCTGGGAAACTTTCACGGGAGAGTGCATCAGCCACTTTGTTAGAAGCTCCTGAGATGTGTTGGATGTCGAAATCAAAATCTTGGAGAGCTAAACTCCACCGAAGAAGTTTTTTGTTAGTTTCTTTGACGGTGTGAAGCCACTTTAGTGCAGCATGGTCGGTTTGCAGGTGGAAATGCCGTCCCCAAACATATGGACGTAGCTTTTCCAGAGCGTAGACAATGGCATAACATTCTTTTTCAGTGACTGACCAGTTGCTTTCCCTCTCAGACAGTTTTTTGCTGAGAAACACTACAGGGTGGAATTCTTGATCAGGTCCTTTCTGCATTAAAACTGCTCCCACACCACGCTCGGACGCATCTGTGGTTACTAGGAACGGTTTGTCAAAGTCTGGGGCCCTTAGTACAGGGTCAGACATGAGTGTCGCTTTAAGCTTGTTAAAGGCCTTCTGACACCTTCCGGTCCACTGAACAGCATTTGGCTGTTTCTTTTTGGTTAGGTCTGTCAGTGGGGCAGCGATTTGGCTGTAGTGCGGTACAAATCGTCTGTAATAACCGGCCAAGCCTAAGAAGGATTGAACCTGTTTCTTTGACTTTGGGACAGGCCACTTTTGGATAGCATCCACTTTGGCCTGTAGGGGGCTGATAGTTCCTTGACCCACCTGGTGTCCAAGGTAAGTCACTCTGTTTAGGCCTATTTGACACTTCTTAGCCTTAACAGTTAGTCCTGCCTCCCTTATGCGCTCAAGGACTTTTTGTAGATGTTCCAGGTGGTCTGCCCAGGAATCCGAAAATATGGCCACGTCGTCAAGGTAGGCGACTGCATATTCTCCTAATCCCGCTAGGAGACCATCTACAAGTCTTTGGAAAGTGGCGGGTGCATTTGCAGCCCGAAAGGGAGTACATTAAATTCATACAGCCCGAGATGTGTGATGAAGGCTGACCTTTCCTTGGCAGATTCATCTAGCGGTACCTGCCAGTACCCCTTGGTTAAGTCCAAGGTAGAGATGAACTGGGCCCGTCCCAGTTTCTCTAATAGTTCATCTGTGCGTGGCATTGGATAGTTGTCTGGGCGAGTTACAGCATTTAGCTTACGGTAGTCCACGCAAAAACGTATTTCCCCATCTGGTTTGGGAACTAGAACCACTGGAGATGCCCATGCACTTTCAGAGGGCGGATTACCCCCATCTGTAACATATCCTGGATCTCCCGTTCTATAGCAGTTTTAGCTTGAGGAGACACCCGGTAAGGTTGGACCCTAATTGGGTGAGCATTACCTGTGTCAATGGAGTGGTATGCCCGTTCAGTCAGTCCTGGGGTGGCTGAGAACGTTGGCGCGTAGCTAGTGCACAGCTCCTGGATCTGCTGTCGCTGCATACGCCCAAGGGTCATGGAGAGGTTCACCTCTTCCACACCACCAGCACATTTCCCTTCGTAGTAAACACCTTCAGGCCACTCAGCGTCGTCTCCTCCCTGGGCTGTAAACTGACAAACCTTTAATTCTCTGGAATAAAAGGGCTTTAGAGAATTAATATGGTACACCTTAGGCTTTCGGTTGGAGGTGGGGAATGCTATGAGATAATTAACAGCTCCCAGGCGCTCCTGGACCGTGAATGGCCCTTCCCACGATGCTTCCATTTTATGGGCCTGGAGCGCCTTTAAGACCATGACCTGGTCTCCTACTTTGAAGGAACGCTCTCTGGCATGTTTATCATACCAGGCTTTTTGCTCTTTTTGAGCATCCTGTAAGTTTTCTCTAGCAAGGGCTAAAGAGGTTCGGAGGGTGTTTTGTAGGTTGGTTACAAAGTCCAGAATGTTAGTTCCTGGAGAAGGTGTAAATCCCTCCCATGGCTGCTTCACCAACTGCAATGGCCCCTTAACCTCACGGCCATATACAAGTTCAAATGGGGAAAACCCTAAACTGGGATGTGGTACAGCTCTGTAGGCAAAGAGCAACTGCTGCAACACTAGGTCCCAATCATTGGAGTGCTCATTTACAATTTACGTATCATGGCCCCCAAAGTTCCATTAAACTTCTCCACCATGCCATTTGTTTGATGATGGTAAGGAGTGGCAACCAAGTGATTTACCCCATGAGCTTCCCAAAGGTTTTTCATAGTTCCTGCCAGGAAATTAGTCCCTGCATCGGTGAGGATGTCGGAGGGCCAACCTACCCTGGCAAAAATGTCTGCTAGTGCCTGGCACACACTTTTAGCCCTGGTGTTGCTTAGAGCTACTGCTTCCGGCCATCGGGTGGCAAAATCCATGAAAGTCAGTATGTACTGCTTTCCTCTGGGTGTCTTTTTCGAAAAGGACCCAGAATATCCACAGCTACTCGCTGAAATGGAACTTCAATGATGGGGAGTGGCTGGAGAGGGGCTTGACCTGGTCTTGGGGTTTTCCACTCTTTGGCACACCTCACAAGACTGGACATAGGTAGAAACATCCTTGCCCATTCCTCCCAGTGGAATGACCCCCCAAACGGTCTTTGGTCCTGTTCACCCCAGCATGGCCACTAGGGTGAACATGGGCTAAGCTCAAACTTGGCCCGGTATTTAGTTGGAACTACCAACCGTCTCTGAGGATGCCAGTCTTCCTGGTGTCCACCAGAAAGAGTTTCCTTGTATAAAAGTCCTCTTTCTACAACAAACCTGGATCGATTAGAAGAGCTGAGAGGCGGTGGGTTGCTCCGTGCCGCCGTCCAAGCTCTCTGGAGGCTTTCATCTGCTTCCTGTTCGGTCTGGAACTGTTCCCTTGATGCTGGGGACATCAGTTCCTCATGGGATTGTGGACCTAGGCTTGGTCCCTCTGGAAGGATATAGGGGATGGAGCTGTTTCTGTTGACTGTGAACCGCTCTCCGCTGGTGCACTATGTTGGGATTCAGGCTCCGGCTGAGCCTCTTGGGTGGGTTATCGGCTGCTGCCAGTTCAGGTTCGGTGGGACCCTCTGTTGTTGAGGTTGCAAGTACTGGATTCAGTGCTGACACGGGGTCTGGTGTTGGTTGTTCGGCTGGTTCCGGTTCTGGGACTGGTTCCGTCTGGGTCTCTGGGACTGGATCCACTACTGCTGTTGCAGACATTGGCCTGGGGTCCAGGTCCATCACCTCTGACTGAGTCCTGATAGAAGTTTCCGGAACAGAGCTAGGCCTCACGGCTTGTTTAGCCTGGCTGGGGTGACCATTCCCACCCTCTTGGCCTGCTTCACATGATTGGCCAAGTCTTCCCCAACAGCATGGGGATGGGATAATCATCATAGACTGCAAAAGTCCACATTCCTGACCAGCCCTTGTACTGGACAGGCAACTGGCTGTAGGCAAATTGAAAGAGTTGGACTTGAAGGGTTGAATCGTCACTTGGATCTCTGGGTTGATTAAATTGGGGTCCACTAAGGAAGCATGGATAGCTGACACTTGTGCTCCGGTGTCCCTCCACGCGGTGACCTTCTTCCCGCCCACACTCACAGTTTCCCTCCGCTCCAAGGGTATCTGGGAGGTATCTGGGCCTGTGGACCTCTGGTGTGATTCCGGTGCAATGAACTGTAATCTGTTGGGGTTCTTGGGGCAGTTGGCCTTTACAGCCCCAGCTCGTTCACTTAAAACATCGTCCAGCTGACGGGTCACTGGGGGAGGAGGGTTGCTGGAGAATGGGGTGGTGGGACGATAAGGGGTCTGGAGGGTTCTTTGGGAGGTAGGTGGGGCTTTGGGCGGCCCCGGTAATAGGGTGTGGTCTGGGGTGGTCCTTCTGGTCTCCGCTCCAACTGCGACCAGTTTTCTTCTTCTCTGCCACCTCCACCCATCTGGCTCCAATCTCTCCTGCCTCAATTACAGTTTTGGGTTTCCCATCTAGGATGTATCTTTCTATTTCCTCAGGAAACCCTCTAAGAATTGTTCCATTTGCATTAGGAAGGGCAAATTTACTGGAGATTCAACACTTGCTCCTGATATCCAGGCATCCCAATGTTTCACAATGTGGTAGGCATGTCGGGTAAATGACACGTCTGGTTTCCACCTTAGGGCTCTGAACCTCCGAGAGATGCTGGGTGTTATCCCCATTCTGACTCTTGCCTTGGATTTAAACAGTTCATACTTGTTCATGTGTTCTTTAGGCATTTCAGCTGCCACCTCAGCTAAGGGTCCACTGAGCTGCGGCCTCAGCTCTACATGTATTGGCAGTAGAGATGTTGTACCCAAGGCAGGCCCTTTCGAAGTTTTCTAAGAAGGCCTCAGTATATACCTGCCTTGTAGGTGGGGAACTTTCTGGGATGGGAAGTGGTACCTGGAGAAGGATTGCTAGGGTTTGTTGGTATATTCTGCTGGGCCTTTATCTTCTCCATTCCTCCACATACTTCCTCTCTTTTTCCTTCTCCTCCAGTTCTTTGTCCCTTGCTTCCATAGTCTCCTGTGAGCAGCCGCTTGGTGTTGTTCTGCTTTCTCGCTGTCTCCCTTTCTTGTTCCTTCTTCAGCCGCATGAGTTCCATCTGTCTTTCATGTTCCCTTTGTTTCCTCAGCCTGAAATTTGGCTAATTCCAGCTGTAGTCGAGCTGAGGATTTGGTCATTCTAACTCTCTGTTTTTAACTAACTTTACACCCGAGGTTTAGAAATAAACAAAAAAACTTGGCTGTAAAATTTTGGTGCTGCAATAGAATACCTATTCTCTGATAGTGATTGTCAGCCTACAGAAAAAGACAATTCCCTTGTCTCTGCTCTGGGCCCAAATTAAAGCAAAAACCTCCAACTGCTTGGAAACCTGCTTACCCAGCCCAAAGAAAAAGCAATGGGTAGAACACACACCCCTATTTACTTTTAGGAAGAAAAGAAAAAAAAACAAGGGTTGGAGGACTGTGATTTCCTGCAGGAGTTAAGTACCCTGCCTCCAGGCAAAAAAACCTGCAATTCAAAAGATAATCCCCTTTGTCTCTGCTTGGCCAAAGTTTCAAAGCTGCTTTCTGGACTTTCTTTCCAAAGAAAAAAAATTTCCTTTTTAAACTCTGTATTTCTAGTTCAAAAATCTCAACTGGATCTCAAATGATTTCAGGTTAATCCCACCACTGTGCCACCATGTCAAGGTTCCTCCCCACTCTGAACTCTAGGGTACAGATGTGGGGACCTGCATGAAAACCTCCTAAGCTTATCTTTACCAGCTTAGGTCAAAACTTCCCCAAGGTACAAAATATTACACCCGTTATCCTTGGAATGGGCTACCACCACCAAACAATTACTGGTTACTGGGGAAGAGCTGTTTGGAGTCTGTCCCCCAAAATACTTCCCAAAACCTTGCACCCCACTTCCTGGACAAGGTTTGGTAAAAAGCCTCACCAATTTGCCTAGGTGACTACAGACCCAGACCCTTGGATCATAAGAACAATGAACAATCCTCCCAACACTTGCACCCCCTTTCCTGGGAAATGTTGGATAAAAAGCCTCACCAATTTGCATAGGTGACCACAGACCCAAACCCTTGGATCTGAGAACAATGAAAAAGCATTCAGTTTTTACAAGAAGACTTTTAATAAAAATAGAAGTAAATAGAAATAAAGAAATCCCCCTGTAAAATCAGGATGGTAGATATCTTACAGGGTAATTAGATTCAAAAACATAGAGAACCCTCTAGGCAAAACCTTAAGTTACAAAAAAAGTACACAGACAGAAATAGTTATTCTATTCAGCACAATGCTTTTCTCAGCCATTAAAAGAAATCATAATCTAACACATACCTAGCTAGATTACTTACTAAAAGTTCTAAGACTCCATTCCTGTTCTGTCCCTGGCAAGAAGCACACACAGACAGACACAAACCCTTTGTTTGTCTCCCTCCTCCCAGCTTTTGAAAGTATCTTGTCTCCTCATTGGTCATTTTGGTCAGGTGCCAGCGAGGTTACCTTTAGCTTCTTAACCCTTTACAGGTGAGAGGAGCTTTCCCTGGCCAGGAGGGATTTCAAAGGGTTTACCCTTCCCTTTATATTTATGACAGTATTAATTTTTAATCTTGTCATTTTCAAGATATTTATAGGCATAGTATCAATGGCAGTAGGGTCCCAAATTGAGCTATCCGTTCCCTTTTATCGGTGTGCAAAATTCATGTTATTCCACAGAGCTTGTTTTTTCCTCATAGCAGGTAACTCTTGGCAGGGTTGGGGCAGGGTGGGAAGAATATTAGAACTCTATGACCTACCTTCCCCCATTTGTATTTTTAAAAGTATGTCTCACCTAGAGTTCTCTCTCCATCAGGGTCTACCTCTTGAGCCATTTTCAGTGCCTCTGTTGTTGCGATATCCACATTACTTGGCACCACTACCAAATTTATAGTCTCTTGCTTAGCAATAAATTTTTTAATTAGCTTTTTGATCTGTAATAAAATATGGTAAGAAAGAAATGCAGTAAAGTTTGATGTGACAAATGGCATTGGATGCCAGGCTGCTCATCATCTGACTAGGTGGAATGTCATACACACGATGGATACAATCATACAATAGAAGCTAAGGTGCAAATGTCAGCGGCTGAAATCAGCCTGATTATCTAAAGGTAATCCAAATGTGGTACATGCCCCAGAACAGACTGCTTTTATGTCGGCCTTGGGAAATGGTCATAAAAATTTACTAGGCCCGGTACACAATCTATTCAGTGATGAATATGTAATGATATTTTACCTGCATTAGAAACAACCAAATTCTATTGTCTAAATGCACAGCTAAGAAAAAAATCAAGTTGGATTATACTGATATGTCAAGATCAGATAAAATGTAGAGTTACATACATCCATCTCAAAAGTGTGCCTATCAAAAGAGAGCAGAATGTCTTGTCTTTGCCTTTCAATGAGAGATTCATAAAAAGTAAATAAAACTGACATATTTGGCTGTTTTCCCCCCATGTTTGAATCCCAACAATCAGAGTTTCTCATGGTTTTCTGTTGTGTTGCCAAAGGTTCACATAGCTCTAGTTATATTAAATTCATGTAACTATTATCCTGAGTTTCCATAAATCTTCCCTTGTCTTCTACATTTCCCTTCAACACCATTTTCTGTCATATTCAAAAGTAAGATGCTTTATCTCCCTTATTTTACATCTGGAGAATGTGGGACATTCAGGACAATTGTCATGTGCAGCTGGTGTCACACCAACTATTTTATTGTGGATACAATGAGCAGAGTTGTACAAATTACTATAGTAATTTCATCGCAAAATAAAGTGATTTTTTTCCTGCATTCTGGCTGGATAAGGGAGCCCACTTGTATTATCTTTGACAATTCGTTGCCCAAACCCTTTTGATTCAATCAACATTTGCTGACATTTGTCAAGTCCTGCACCTCTCATTGCAATTTACTATTTACATGAATTGTGGGGGAGGTACTAATACACATATCTACTGTACATCACCATCCACCCCTCAAACTCCTGCTAACATTAGGGCAGTGGTCTCCAACCTTTTAACGCCCAAGATCACTTTTTGAATCTGAGGTCACCCCAGGATCTGTCCTGCCCCTTCCCCAAAGCCACACCCCTTCCCCAAAGCCCCGCCCACTCACTCCACCCCCCTCCCCATTGCTCGCTCTCCCCACCATCCCTCACTTTCACCAGGCTGGGGTAGGGTGTTGGGGTTCGGGAGGGGGTGCAGGTTCTGGGCTAGGGCCGAGGGGTTCACAGTGTGGGAGGGGACGCTGGGGCAGGGGATTGGGGGTGCACGAGGGAGTGAGGGGTGCAAGCTCTGGGATGGAGTTTGGGTGCAGGAGGGGGCTCCAAGCTGGGGCAGAGGGTTGGGGTGCAGGAGGGGGTACGGGGTGCTGGTTCTGGGAGGGGGCTCAGGGCTGGGGGTTGGGGTGTGGCCTCCCGACAGGCAGCACTTACCTCCAGCAGCTCCTGGTCAGTGGCAGGCGCAGCGAGGCTAAGGCAGGATCCCTGCCTACCCAGGCCCCACACCGCTCCTGGAAGGGGCCAACGCGCCCCTGTGGCCCCTAGGGTAGATGGGGGGCCATGGCTCCGTGGGCTGCCCCTCTCTGCAAGCACCACCCCCGCAGCTCTCCCGGCCAGTGGGAACTGCGGGGGCGGTGTTCTCAGGCAGGAGCAGCGCACGGAGGGAGACCCCTGACCCCCGCTGCGGGGCCGTGCTGGCCGCTTGCGGGAGCGCCATGGGGTCGGCAGGGAGCCTGCCTTAGTGGCCGCCACACTGCACCGCCGGAAATCGCAATCGACTGGGAGATCCTCTAGGATCGACCAGTCGATTGTGATTGACTGGTTGGTGACCCCTGCACTAGGTCTATATTACAAGTGGCCTTGTTCTTAGAATTCCTATTTGAATTATAAATATTTTAGTTTGTTACCTTTTCAAAAAGAAAGACCAGAAAATTGGCACTCACTTCTACTTTATGCATTGTCTTTTTCACTCCATAAAGTGTTCAACATGCTTCAGAAAAAAAGAGTCAAATACTACTCTCATTTACACTGCTGTAAATTCGCAATAACTCTGCTGAAGTTAGAATTTGATCCATTATGTGGGGAAGCACTGAGAGACAGTAAAATTAATGGAGCCAGTTTGTCTTTTCCTTACTATACACCATAGTCCTCAGTTGTAGAAGAATACACTAGACAGAGATTTATTTAATTATGAGACTTTCTTTTGCTGAATTTCGTCTGTAGGGCTGACCAGCATGTGTTTCATTCTAAGTGACCATCACTCTTCTTTTCAGCACTTCCTCCACCAACAACTGTCCTGTCTGTTGCCTACAACATCTTTAATTCTGGTTGTGAGACAAGTTAACTGTATAGAACACTATTGTCTGGATCAGTGGTGGGCAACCTGCAGCCCATCAAGGTAATCTACTGGGGGGCCGCGAGACAGTTTGTGTACGTTGACTGTCCACAGCTTCCAGGGGCCATGGTTCACCGTTCCCAGCCAATGGGAGCTGTGGGAAGCAGTGGCCAGCACATCCCTGCGGAGAACTGTGGCCACTGGGAGCTGCGGGCAGCCCTGCCTGCGGATTACCCTGATGGGCTGCAGGTTGCCAACCACTGGTCTAGATCCTCCAGCAAAACCTTCTGTTTAAGATAATTTGTTCATTAGATCTCCACTAATGTAACTTAACTGTTTCCTAGCTCAGAACATGTATGTTGCATTACCTGTTCTCCAATGTCTTGTGGCTGATTCCCTACAGCCACCCTCGCAATCCCTGGAAGATCAATCAGTGTCAGATCTGGAACATTCGGAGAGCGAATTTCGAGGGAAATTAATTCCTGGCTAATGCCCACTCCTTCACCAGCGATTGCATCCTGGGCTACAAAGGAGGAAAGGGAAAGACAAGAAAAGCAAACTTTAGAAACGCCTAATGGGAATTTCAGATTAGAACATATCAGAATTGGAAAGCTCCTATTGTCCCCTGGCATTTCTTTTTTTTAAATGAAAGGCATTTTGGGACCCAATCCTCCCCACACAAAATCCCATGGAAATCAATGGGGCATGATTGGACTCCTTTTAAGGATTTGAGCCTTAATAAAAATTGAAGAATACACTATGAATTAAACTTTCAGAAATCTCAGTGTAGAAAAATCAAATACATGGAGATGTTTTAATAAAAATAATAACATAGTGATACAATAAAATACTTAGCATTTACACAATTGGCTCCTCATCTCCAAAATGCTGGACATGCATTAGTTAATCCTTGACAGCCTTGCAAGGTAGCAAAGGATTATTATACACATTCTATAAATGGATGAAGTGAGGCATAGAGATTAAGTGACCTGTCCAAGGTCATATAGCAAATCAGTGGCAGAGTCATGAACAGAATGGAAGGATATTGAGTGCCAGTACTCTGCTTTAACCATCAGACCACACTGTCTAAATCAAACACCACCTCACAGAAGCTGGCTAGAATGTGCAACTGATTTGTTAATTCAACATAACACCACCATTTTATAGCTCTGTATTGCTGCTATTTCTTGCTATCAAAGTAAATAATTTCTCATGAGAAACCTTCAGACGCATAATTAGCTTATTTGACTTTTATGTCACTTACCTCGCTACCGTACCAGTTTTTTAAAAATTATTTCTTGAAAACCTCAGAGAATAAATATATATGTAAAAACAAACAATGTTATGACCAATAACAATGTAGGTAACTACGCAAGCTAAGCCAAGGACAATCAAACCTTAAGCTTCAGGGCATAAACTGTTAGCCCTTGGGGTAGAAGAGGTGTTTTCTCCCATCATGTGGAACACTGAACAACTAGCTAGTGCCATGTGAGTACAATACATGTTTTCTTTTTGTCTTCCCCTAGAATACTAGGAATTCGTCAAAGCCAAGTGCAGAATGATGACTTAGATACACTATGGCCTGAGCTGGTCTGAAAACTCCTGGAGCAAATCACTTTTGATGTAAAATGCTGCAACGCCGCTGAGATCAGCTGAGTCGTGCTGCTTTATTCCAGCTGGGAATGTGGCTCCCTGTGTTCCTGGCATTCTCAGCAGTTATGATGCAGGGTGTTAATTTGGGAAATGTTATGCTGCCTAACAGGATGGAATAAAGGATGAAAAGGAGGATTTGATGAATTAAATCAGAATGCAATAAATAACACTTACCTTTTCTTATTTCTTTTTCCACCACTGAGGGATGGTGGAGCTCTTCATCTATATCCCAGTAACTAATTTTCCCTTTCCATTCCTGCTGAGGAGCCAGTTTTTTCAGTTTGAGCACTAAGGGACATCTGGTAACAATACCTGCAGTTGTCCATAAAGAGAGTTAATTCTGTTAACGAACATCCTTTTGAATGGGTACAGAGCACACCACAGAATGTAGCTTTTCCTACAGTATGCAGAAGACTGCCCAAAGCTTTCAGTGTGTTCACACAGCTCACACACCTTGGAATATCTGAGAGTTGGGAAAGCATGCTGGGCATTGGTAGGGCAGTGAGGAAAACTATCATCCCATTTGTATGCCGCACTGTGCAGTGACCATATTTTAAAAATTTATTCTGTCTTGAAAGATTTCACATTTGTTTGAAAGCTATTTCATAAAGTTAAAATGGGTAATGGAAACCAGTAATATATATCTGAAGAGAGAGGAAACTTTAAAGGTGTGTGTATGCTCGATGCTTTGTACCTTTAAAATAGCTGTTCAGAATGATATCCCGAAGACAGAATTGTACCCTGATCCGGTTCGATAGTAGGGATATCATTCTGTATTGCATAGGCTTGTTTAAATATTCTGTAGATGTATTAATTTCTATAGATTTTTAAGAGTTATTTCTATAGAACCCTGTTAGGAGTGCTAGTGATAATGTAGGATTCAGGCCTGTATTTTTACTTGAGATAGTATTTTGGGTTTTGCTTGCCTGTTTGATTTTTTGATACACATACATTCTTACTAATATGTGTGAACAAAGGACAAAGACACTGCGTGTGTTACTTCTGCCTAGCTAGATGGGTTTGTTAGCACAATGGGAACAGATAAGAGCAGTTAAAGTGTTACTGGGCGTGATGGGAATATAATATATGAGCATACTCTTGAAGACTGACACAACTCTTATCTCAGGGCAAGGTCAAGCAACAAGTCAGGAAGGGCAAGGGAGGATTGGGGGGAAGATAAAACACTAAAAGGCCAGACAAATGCCTGCCCTTGACCATAGCACATCCTCACTCCTTACCCCTCCCTTGGGGTACAAAGGAGGTTGGACAAAGACTCCAGACCCATGACCCCCTGTTAGAATCATAGAATCATAGAATATCAGGGTTGGAAGGGACCTCAGGAGGTCATCTAGTCCAATCCCCTGCTCAAAGCAGGACAAATCCCCAACTAAATCATCCCAGCCAGGGCTTTGTCAAGCCTGACCTTAAAAACCCCAAAGGAAGGAGATTCCACCACCTCCCTAGGTAACACATTCCAGTACTTCCCCACCTTCCTAGTGAAAAAGTTTTTCCTAATATCCAACCTAAACCTCCCCCACTGCAATTTGAGACCATTACTCCTCGTTCTGTCATCAGCTACCACAGAGAACAGTCTAGAGCCATCCTCTTTGGAACCCCCTTTCAGGTAGTTGAAAGCAGCTATCAAATCCCCCCTCATTCTTCTCTTCCGCAGACTAAACAATACCAGTTCCCTCAGCCTCTCCTCATAAGTCATGTGTTCCAGTCCCCTAATCATTTTTGTTGCCCTCCGCTGGACTCTTTCCAATTTTTCAACATCCTTCTTGTAGTGTGGGGCCCAAAACTGGACACAGTACTCCAGATGAGGCCTCACCAATGTCGAATAGAGGGGAACGATCACGTCCCTCGATCTGCTGGCAATGCCCCTACGTATACATCCTAAAATGCCATTAGCCTTCTTGGCAACAAGGGCACACTGTTGACTCATATCCAGCTTCTCGTCCACTGTAACCCCTAGGTCCTTTTCTGCAGAATTGCTGCCGAGCCATTCGGTCTGTAGTCTGTAGCGGTGCATGGATTCTTCCGTCCTAAGTGCAGGACTCTGCACTTGTCCTTTTTGAACCTCATCAGATTTCTTTTGGCCCAATCCTCTAATTTGTCTAGGGCCCTCTGTATCCTATCCCTACCCTCCAGTGTATCTACCTCTCCTCCCAGTTTAGTGTCATCTGCAAACTTGCTGAGGGTGCAATCCACACCATCCTCCAGATCATTTATGAAGATATTGAACAAAACTGGACCGAGGACTGACCCTTGGGGCACTCCACTTGATACCAGCTGCCAACTAGACACGGAGCCATTGATCACTACCCTTTGAGCCCAACAATCTAGCCAACTTTCTATCCACCTTATAGTCCATTCATCCAGCCCATACTTCTTTAACTTGCTGGCAAGAATACTGTGGGAGACCGTGTCAAAAGCTTTGCTAAAGTCAAGGAACAACACGTCCACTGCTTTCCCCTCATCCAGAGAGCCAGTGATCTCGTCATAGAAGGCAATTAGATTGGATCTGTTGGATCATATTAAAGAAGTTCTGTATTAAAATCACAAATGAGTTTGATTCCCCATAGTTTAAATTCCAGGGTATTACTAATTAAGAGGTCTCTTGGTTTTTGGTACTGTTTCTCTCCCTCTATGTGTGAAACTTGCAAGCTGCTAATTGTGTTAGTACATCCTAAAACAGAGTCTGTTCTCAAAACAATAGTTTGTAATAACAGAAACAGCACAGAGAGACTCCCCGCCCTTTTGTTGTATTTATCTCGCTTTGTTAACAATTGTGATTAAAATAGAGATAGAGGATGTATGTGGATGGATGCCTGATGTGGATAATAACTGAATGATCAGGGAAGTGCCAGCCTAAGAATCCAGTGTCCATCTGCTGAAGTGGAAACAACCAGAGGACCCCCAGAGGGCAGACTGGAATCCAGCCAACAGCCTCAAGGATGGGAGAACCGAAGAACAAGGTAACAGGAAGAGCAACCAAACTTGACAGATACAAAAAAGGAGGAGACTTCCACTCTGGCCTACCTCACACAAAGAACGTGTGAAGGTGAAGCAAGGACGCGGAAGAGTGCTCTGCAATTACTTTGGTTTACCTGCCTTGTCCCTGGCAGTTCTTCTGTTGATGGACAGAATAAAGTTGTAGAATTGATCAATGAAATTGTTTTTAATTGTTCACTTTATTAATATAACTTCATAAGGAAAGTTTTATGAATGAAACAACATTCATTCATAAAACTGGTTACCCCAATAAACTGGCTAATTGAGTTTCACTTTCAATCCAATTGCTGCTTAAATCGCTGAAACTCCTGCTCACTGTTTGTCATTCATTATACTTTCTATATTGTAACTTCTGCTCACTGTTTGCCCTTCCTTACACGTGTCCATATTGTAACTCAAACTCCATTTTAACTTGTGCCAAACTCCATTTTAAAATGCTCACTCCATTCTGTAAAAGCTTGCTGCATTATTTTTGCAAAACCCTGCTGTAATCTTATTAGTTTAGTTTAGATGTGTGAATGAGGTATGGATGGATGATGGAATCAACCTCCAGCCCAGCCTGTCCTGATGAAATAAAGTGTAAACGCCCAATGGCTGAAGATGCAGACAACAGCCCTGACAAAGTAAGAGGAGTCCACCCTCAAAAGAAAAGAACAAAAGTACAATTGAAGAAACATCAAAGCCAGGTCCTAGGCTGAAAGTCATGTCTGCAATTGACGGGTGATCAATCACACCAGACCCAGTGACACAGCAAGACCTATAGACTCTGGATTCAAACTAAAGCCTACGAAAAGGATGGGTGAGATGGAAGACTTTGGAGGGTAGCATTCTGCTACCAACATGGAAGGGCATCGGTGCATGCCCAACAGAGACCGAGCTCTTCCTTGTGCCCGGCTTTCCTGGCCAGTTAGCGTCCACAAGCTACGAACCCAAGCCACGAACTCAAGCTACATTCAGGACTGGTAACTATACAGCAGCTGCAGAACCTGTGTGTGTGTATGAAGGAACATGTGAATTAATGTGAAACTGAATGAAATGTTATAGCTATAACTGACTGCCTACTACAATTCTTTTTGTATTCACAGTAAATGTGACATTTTGTCTTATCCCCTTTAATAAGAGCCTGCTGGTTTTTATTTTATTGGTATAACGAAGTGGCTTAGAATAACAACACCTTTTGCCGAGCTTTAACATGGTGTTTTTCGTAAATACTTGGAACACAATGCATGCGTCTCCTGTTTAGACACAACACTAGAAGATCTTTTGCATGCCCATACTGCTGCCTGGGTCATGAGAGCAGCAGGTAGATGTCCTCCTGTGCCAGCACAGGGTTCTCTGGAACAAAGGTTGCTATTATCTGGCTAAGGAGCAGTTGATTCCCTTTCAGAGGTTTCACTCCACACAATTACCTCTGCTGAATATAAAGTCAACATTGAAACAAAACATTTCGATGTTATTGAATCTAAATGTTTCAATTGACCCAAAATAACATTTTCAAAAGTTGTTTCACAATTAAGTCTGAAATATGACATTTTATTCCCCTACGGAATGAAAGCAAATTTCAAAATAGTGGAATTTCCCACAAAAGGGATATTCCAGTTGCCGCACAGTTCTTATCATAACAGTGTTTTCTGTATGATGGGATGAGGAAAATACAAATTCTTTTGGGTTGTATCAGGGATGAATCTAAACCCAACTTTCAGTGTCACCAAACTGACATGAATTACAGAATATCAGATAGAAACACACCACTGCGACTCGGGGAAGAGTCCGATTTCTGAGATGAGAAGCTGAAAGGTAAATTCTTACCACTGCCTCTAGGGAGAGCAACTCCGGACAGGGCTTCTAGAACCGAGCTTTTTCCAGAACTCTGGTCTCCAATCACTGCAATTGCTGGCAAAGCCAGGTCCTTTTCTACTCCAAGCGCTCTCAGGGAGTCAATGAGATCAATACAGGGGCGGATTTTCTCCTCATATTGGTTGTACAAGGTGTGTTCTGCGTTCTGTAAGAAAAACGTTACATTTCATTTGAGCTCATTTCACAGAATCAGGCAAAGTTAAACATGTCTGTGCCATAAATGATGTACATCATCAGCAAACTGTCCTTCACCCCACCATACCACTAGCTTTGTACTGTGAGCTACAAGCCTTCTGTAGTATTCTTGACAAGGTAAACACGTTTCTGTAAATTCAGCAAAATTTAGCTAATTTGCACCAATGGCTGAAATATCCATTGTAAATTACTGTATTTTATAAATTAGCAAGTGAATACACAATAAGAAAAGCAAGAACACCACCCCATCAAATATCCTTTCTTCAGTTATTTTTGGTAACTGCAGTTTTTTCTTGTATTAATTTATAATGCATCATAATGTGCTAGTTTATGTATTGCGGTATATATCGTTAAATACTGAAGGTCTTAGTAATAAGAAACCTCAGTACGTTATCCCTATTAAATCACTGTTGTGTGCTCTGGAGAAATATATAGTTTGTATGTGAGTCAGAATGTGCAAAGATAAGTGAGAATCATAGAATATCAGGGTTGGAAGGGACCTCAGGAGGTCATCTAGTCCAACCCCCTGCTCAAAGCAGGACCAATCCCCAATTTTTGCCCCAGATCCCTAAATGGCCCCCTCAAGGATTGAACTCACAACCCTGGGTTTAGCAGGCCAATGCTCAAACCACTGACCTATCCCTCTCCCCAGGTTCTGCTGTAATTTCTTTATGGGTTAACAGCTGGTCAATAGCTTTTAGATTATTATGTTGATCCTTCCCCTACCTCCTCCCTTCCAGGGCAGGATATTGTGCCCAGGGAAAGAATGAATACACCTGATTTTTTTAAAAAAGGTGATTACTTGATGTCACTTGTTTCATGTACCACCTGCTTTGTAATAACACACGAGGACTCCACTTTTATTAAACAAAACTGGCTGTTTACTAGAGCAGTTATTTACCGTGCTGTTCCAACTACATCTTAGTGTCCCTGACTGCGCATACAGACTGACTTCCTGCAGCCTCCTCCAAATTCTTCCCTCAGGCAACCTCTCTCCAGGTCTCAAGCGGGTTGCTGCACTTAAGGTAGCCATGTTATTTTGAGAAAACTAGTATTTTATGAAAAAAAATGAGGAGGACTTCTGGCACCATAGAGACTAACAAATTTATTTGGGCTTTTCAATAAGCCCATAAGTTTTCATGGGCTTAAACCCACTTCGTCAGATGCCCAAATAAAGGTGTTAGTCTCTAAGGTGCCACAAGGACTCCTTGTTCTTTTTGCTGATACAGACTAACACAGCTACCACTCTGAAACCTGTCAGTATTTTATGATTTAACAGGTGAGGCAGCTTCCTATCTTAATCTAAAATTTGGTATCTGTGTATGGAGATAAAAAGCTAAATTCTTATCTTCCACCCTGAATAGAGAGCACTATTTCAGGAAATAGATATATTGAAACAAAGTGCAGAATAGCTAGGAAAGACAATACTTATCACCATGGGGAAAATATTTTTGCACCCCCTGATCATAACTGCAATGCTTATTATCTAATAACATTATTTAACTGCTTTAATAACTTTAATATAATTTTTTCAAATGTCTATTCTGATTTTCTCAGTGTTAAACATAGAATATGAAATAAGAGTCTTTGTATTTCTATCAATTTCTGTTGAAAGCACAGGAGCCTCATTTAAAGAACAAACAAAAACTCAAATCCCATTATATCTGTTTAAATTTTCTTAATATGAATATTCATTAAGATATACATTCTAGGGGAAAGTTGGAGTCAGGCTGTGGCCCTTCTATTTTCTATGCCTACATTTTTTTACACCTGGAAATGAAATACAGGGGCAAATCTTAGTAATTACACGACTGAGCACCTGGCCCCCAGTCCTGGAAATATTTACGCATGTGATTTACAAAGTACTATACCAGTCAAAGGGATTTACACATGTGCATGAAGTTCAACATGTGTGTTTGCAGGATTGGTGCCCAGACTTGCACACACAATCCCACACAGAGACAGAAAGAACTGTTTTGATCTGTGTCTGCAGATTGTGTATGCAGAAGTGAGCCCAGACCACTGAAAATTCAGCCCCAACAGCAGCTGAACATTAATCTCAGAGGAGTCAGTTTTCACTCAAATGCCAAATATCTGACCTGCCTTATTCTGTTGCTCTTGGAAACGATATAGTCCCCCTTGCTGTTTCATCTTTTCTTGATGATATTCCTCAGACTCCGCCCACTGGACTGCTGCTGCGTGTCTCCGAATCATCTCATACCAGGCTGGAGGCATGCTCTGTGCGCAAGGCTGTGGCACTGCAGTAGCTCCTTTTGACTCCGTTGGTTGCAGGCTTCTTAAAGCTTCTTTTGACTGTGCTGGGAGAGATCCTGGAAAAACTGCTTTAGTCTGCACCGGGAAATAGCCTGGAAATCCTCCTTTTGACTGGGCTGGATGTGATCCTGTAAACACGGCATTTGACTGCGTTGAGAGCAATCCTGTAAAAACGGTGTTGGTCTGTGCCGGTGCGGGCGATGTCACAAAACTGTCTTCTGACTCAGGCGGGAGTGGTACTCCAAAATCTTCTTCTGACTGAGTTGGGAATGATCCTGCAAAAACTGCTTTAGACTGTGTTGACAGCGATGCTCCAAAAGCTGCGTTTGACTGTGTGGGGGGTGCTCCTCCACAGAATCCTTGTGATTCTTTGGTCATCAAGTAAGTTCCAGGCCCTGACTGTGCCGGCATCCTACGCAGTGATGGTTTATACATTACCTGTCTGCTTCTTTGCTTGCCAGATGAAGATGCCCAGCAGCTCTGGGACTTATTCATTAAGTGTCACTGAAAAGCAAATGTCTAGTCTGGCAACTCTTCTATATTGCTCTGAAAACGATACGTGGGCGTGAGTGAATTCAGCTCTGCAATAGTAATAACAATGGAGAAAGTCAAAACCATATTGTTATTGGTTGGGCCAGATCTCTGCTAGAATCAGCTGGTGTAGTTCTTTTCAAACCAATGGATGTGTGTTGGTTTGAACCAGCTGAGGTGACCCCTTATTTGTACTGCATCACTGTGCTGAGTTGCTCCAAAAAATGCCAATTACTTTTAATGGGAGATTTTGAAACATTTTAACATTTTCCCAAATTTCCCTCAAAAATGCCCTTTTAACAATGATCAGCTCTCAAAAAATGATTTTCAATCATTTTCTTTTTCATTTAAAAAAATCAGAACATTTTGACCAAACTTGTTTTTTCCCCCATTAATGTTGAAAAAACATGTTTTCATCAACAGAATATTTCGATGGGAAAAAATGTGAGCAGCTCTACCAGTGTGATAGGGGGTATGAACAGAATGCTTCTGCCCCACAAGTGTCCTATTTAAGGCCCAGATCCTGCAAATACTCACCCCCACACTTAAATTTACTTTTGTGAGTTGGGAGTTTAGCACATTTGTATCTACAGGAATGGGGCCTAAATGGATAGTTGACAAACAGAGGTAAGGACCACAAACCAACACTCCGCTTTCCAGCCATTCCTTTTGTGGAGAGTTTCCATGAGCCTGTGGATTTAGAAAAATAACATTTCATTTTTCAAAAAGGCAAATCTGAACAACTGGTGGCTGGCTGTTTACAAGTGGACCACTCCCTTTGCTTAAAAGTGGCCCATAAAAGAACAAAAAGGGGTTGTGGCCTTTTTGCTGCATTATATAGTATTGTGAAAAGGAGAAGTGGAAGTTTACTCTATTTTTCTTTTCCTGTTTAGTTTTAATGTAGTAAAAATTCAGGTCATGTCTATCCTCTTTCTCCTGGAAGAATGTCTGGAGAAATAGGAGGTTTATGATCTCACAGTTACTAGACTGACTGAGCGAGGCAGTGATTCCCCCCCCCCCCCCCATTAATGCAGTTGGTTTAAAAATGGAGGGGGCGTTTGTTTTATTAAAAACCTACTTAATTGAGATGCTTAAAAAAAGAGTAAGAAGAAAAATTCTTTAGCGGAAGTATCATAACCCTCATCCCTTTAATCAATTGCTGATCTAGACTTCCGTGTCTTCTAAAACAAGCCTATAGCAAAATGGGGAAGACTAGACTTGACATTAGTTACAGTTCTAATGCATGAAACCAGCAGGAAAAAAATAGAACTTTTTTAAGAAACAACCACCATTTAGGGTTTCTTTATACTTCATAAAGAAGAAAAAATGGTACATGCCCAATTTTATTTTTAAAGTCACCTTAAATCAACACTTTGCAGGCCTTCAGTCCAGGCCCTAGGGCAGCTAAGCTTGACTGGGTAGCAATCAGTCCCCAAATGCTCCTGAAAACACCTGTTAATCTGTGGAGATATCTCATCCAAGGGAAAATACATGGTTGAAATAGGGACAATATTTGGAAATGAAAAAAAAAAAACAAAAAAAAGAGGATTTTTTTGAAGAAATTGTCATTTTTTAACTAGCTATAGAGCTGGCTGACTTTTTTTCAAATTTTGTGAAAAAATTATATTTTCCAAAAGTATTCCACAAGTCTCTCCTCCTTTTTCCCACCCCCATTTTGTTGTTGTCGACAGGGCTGCCGGTAATAAAGGCACACATATTATTTTCCCCCAGAGCAACCTGTGCCTCCATTCATCAGTATAATGGTGGATTAATTTTTCCCTTGTTTTCCTGTATTTATCTCCCAATGTGTCATGAATCCATTCCTAAATATACATTCAATTGTACCCATTGATTTTATTGTTAGTAATGAAAATTATGCATTAATTTGCACAATTCTTTTAATATATGAACCTGACTAGAATCCTGCTCACTTTTCCATAGCTGTCTTGGAGCTGTGGTGCTGAAAGAAATAGCCAAAACTTACTTTAGTCACTAAATCAAGCAACTATTGACACTAAATGCACAGGGGGCCTGACTGTTTAGTGAGAAGATGCCATTTTCACATACCGCCTTTCCCAAACATAATTAATTCAACTTTTGTCCATCTGAAAAGTGGCACAGACTTCTGCCTGCGATATTGTTGTGATTGCCTCAGAATTATTGACTCTAAACCCCATCCTCTTTGTTATAGTTTAATTCCATGCAGCCTCCACAGGAATGAAAGTCTGACCAGACACAATGCTCACAGCACTGAAAACAATTAGACAGTTATCCAGGCTGTTAGGCTGAATTCCCGAAACAACTCCAGCCTTCTCAACACACAAACCCCTAAAAATGCATCACACTTCAGCAATTTAAAACTTTGGCTCCCAAATACATCCTCATAAAGAGGAAACGATCATATTTATTTTGTAACCTGGATAATTTTATAGGGAGAAATCCTGTGCCCCAAAACTCATTTATTCTTCTCTCTTATTTCAGATATCCTTACAGTGTCTACCAGCCTACCCACGTTTAGCTATGAAAAGAGATGAATTAAAGATACATACAAACTTCTAAATAGTTACTGAAAAGAGAAGGAGAACAATTCCTACCTGCCTTGTACTCAGCCCAACAGGAAACTATTATCCAGTACAGAATTTCTTCTTTTATCAGCAGCTCCACCCAAGATACCAGATGGAAAACAGGAGAAATGAAACTAACTCAAAAGTATACCAGTAGCATCATTATTAATTGGTTTAGCAATGCAATGCCATTTCCTTTGTCACTGACTCCACCCACATTCTCAGAGAAAATCAGGAGAAATGAAACTAACATGAAAGAAGAAAAAGAGTACATCGAATGTGAAGTGAACTGTAGCTCACAAAAACTTATGCTCAAATACATTTGTTAGTCTCTAAGGTGCCACAAGTCCTCCTTTTCTTTTTGCGGTTACAGACTAATACGGCTGCTACTCTGTAACCTGAAAGAGTTCCCTTAGCATCACCCTAAATTTGCTTCACAATGGAATGCATCATCCTTCTCTCCTATGCCTTATGTCAAGCTGTGAGATCTTTCAACAAAGAAGTGATTGAAGTTTCCAGAATCAGTGTTGCATTTACTCTCACATGTTGTATTCATAAATGGTTAATGCAACTTATATTTATAGAAGGTTGCATTAAAAAATGAATAACTAGAAGGTGGCAGGGTCTATTCAGGAGATCCAAAACTTTACAATAGTATGTACTGCCTCTCAGTCTCGCCAACCCCAAGAATTCAAAAATAATGAATCAAGTCCCCAAAAATCAAAAGATTGGCTTAAAAATCTTGAGATTTTAAAAAATAATAAATGTTGGGTTTTTGGGGTTTTTTTTTGGCCTTTGGGGTTTTTGAGCCTTTAGATTTCATGCATACAAGCTTTTCTTTGCAACCGTAAGGACTAGAAACCAACTTTAAAATGAATCTGAGGCACCTGACTCCAGGAGCTGGGGCTCTAAGAAAAACAACAAATATCATGGCGACTCATGGTATAAACGTCTCTTACTTTGTAAGTGTTGTAGTAAGGCTAAGACATGGATAACAACCCAAAGCAAAATGAATCCACACCCAAGATAAATTTCTGATCCATTCCAAAAATTAGTCTTTGTGCCCCCCCCCCCGCACATTCAAAAATCAATTTCCTCGACAATCCCAGTCAATTTCCCCAAACACACAAACTCAAGCCTACTCCCCCAGTCCATTGCCTCTTCAGCTTCCAGATTCTTTTGTCCTGTTGCTTTACTCTTGTGACAGTCTGAACCCCTGTGTTTACCCTTTTTACAGGACTATGATAAATTCTGTACAAAGTATGCCTTGTGAAGGATCATTTGAAAACTCATAATTTTCTGATCATTATTGTCCTGGTAAAATGTGGGGGGCAACACTGTATGTAAAGTTATGAGAGTCTACTGTATGATATTACTGAGACATATTCCAAGTCTGCAAAAATAGTCACAAACCAGGTGTCAACAAAATCAAATGGACTATTGCCTGTACAAGTGGCCAATCTTTGGCAGGTAAAAGGGTGTGAATAAGAAATCTACATCTTGGCAAAGAAACAGCTGGAGGTTCCTGTCCCCACAGAATTCCTGTCTCCTGAACTTCAGCTGGAAATGATTTTTAAAGAAAAAGGGAAGTATAAGAAAGGAGAACCGATGCCCCCAAATACTCCTCCCTTTCTCTCTGCCCAGGGCATCACCACAACCTGAAGGACAAGGAAAGTAACATGGAACTGCCGGATGCAGGGCCAGATGCTCCCCTAAGGCACAACATCTTCAGCCTAAAGCTGCCTAAAGCTGACCTTCATGTTTTCTGTAAAAAATGAAACTTTTAACCCACTTTTAACTTTTAGGCACCTTTAGAATGCTGGTGTCCTAAGTACGTGCCTCCTGTGCTAATTGGAAATTCAGCCCTGTCCACAGAGGTCCTGGCTAAAAAAAATCCAGCCAGCAAGACTGCTGAAGCACATGGTGAGAGAGAGAGAGACCCTTGTTTTGAATTCATTTAGCTTGTTAAATTAGATATTAGTTGCATTTTGCCTTTATTTTCTCGTAACCAAATCTGACTTTTATGCCTCATTACTTGTAATAACTTAAAAATCTCATTTTATGTAGTTAACAAACTTGTTTTACTGTTTTATCTAAACCAATATGTTTGGATTGACGTGTCTAGGAAAATCCATTTGAAATAATAGTTAATTTTCTATTAATGAAATGACAGACTTTATATGAGCTTGTATTGTCCAGGAGGGTGCTAGACAGTACAAGATGCACATTTCTGGGGGCAAGTCTGGGAATGGGAATTTGCTGGTGTTACTCTGCAGTGTAATTCATGAGTGGCTGGCCATAGCACTCAGACAGTATAGCTGGGAGTGTCTTACATGCTGGAAGTTGTGTGTGGGCAGACCAGGAGTGGTGGCTTTCACAGCAAAGCAGTGTAAAAAGTGCCCCAGGTTGGAGAACTGAAGGGGCACAGCTATTCATCAGTCCAGATTGTACCTTGGGTAATTTCACAACTCTCTCCATCTGTC